CCTCAGGGATAGAAAAAGACAGTCCGAGGAATATAATCTATAATGTTGTAAGTATTTCTTAGGGGGCCAGATGGACCCATGTCCTTTTGGGGAGTTCACTTCATAGTCGATGTAGAGGCCTGACCACCGCATTGTATTTTTGAAACTGATGTTGAATAATACTGTTTGTCAACTATAATTATATATATACATATAGTCTTGGGACACGGAGTAGAGAGCGGGAACGGATTCAATGGAATTGTAATAGATAAGCATGATATCGGGGGTGGGAGGGCAATAGATGGGTTGTTACCTGGTGAGGGTGAAAAAGGGTAACTATTGTATTGTTGTGTACACCTGAAACTAACAATAAAAGAAATAGATTAAAAAAAATAAAAAAAAAGGTAAATCCTCTTTAACCACACCTCCCAGAGGCCACCAAGTGACCATCTGGTGTGACTCCTTCCCGTGGGCTGTCCATCAGCCGAACTCAACGTGGTGCTGACAGAATGCTCCTGCTCAGCTGGGATGGGATCTGGCCCATGCCATTATCAGTCTGCTAATGCACTTCAATTAAGGGAGGAAACAACACACTGTGCTAACAAGCAGCTCACAAGCAGACCCTGGAAATTGCAGAGGCAAGGAGGGGCGTCTCCAAGACTCCCCAGAAATCTCAGAAAGGGACATTCAATGAGAAATTTCCACCCAGTCATTACAGCAAGGTTTTGAATAAGTAAGACCCGGTGCAGGCGGGACGTGGCCCCTTGGGCGTGTGGGGGATGCATTGTAACCAGAACAGCCCTCCCAGCAGACTCTGCCAGAGACCTAAATGCAAACCTGGTATTTTAGCAGTGGGGCCTGGTAACCCCACTGCTAAAAAGTGACTTTCCTAAGACATGCTGGTGCACTTCCATGAGTGACTGTAGCAGCAAGGACTGAAGCACATGTCCCTCGAGGGGGCCTGGCTACATGAACACGGAGCACTGCGGGGAGGGGGGAACCTGGGTGTGCGAGCGAGGCTGCTGCGCTGGGGCCATCTGGGGGGCTGCATGCACTGCATTTCAGGTGTGACCCTCTTTTTCACACAGCACTAAGTCACAGCTACGGGAGGACAGTCTGGAAGGGCCTCGGGAAGCTTCTGTCACGTGTGAGCACCAGCACGGCAGCAAGAGGGCCCTCTCAATTTTACTTACAGACTCAGGATTCCATGACTTCTTTACAATGTGTATGTAACGGGTTAGTACTTAGAAACGTGTGTAAATGACAAAGAAGCTCGCTGCGAGGGGCCAGGCCACCTCCATGTGCTTCAGAAGTGAGCCTGAGGGGATAAAAGTGGGTGATGTGCTCCCCACCAGGGAGCCTGCTCAGTGGCACTCCCAGCTACCCCCAGGCCTTCTACAGAACGTGTCACAGGCCTCTGCTTCTTGAGAGTTGCATGGAATAAGGAGCGGCAGTGGGACCTGCAGCTTCCAAACCCAGAAGCTCAGCCCCAGCATCAGGACCTCCTGGGTGCAGTCGCACAGGTGGGCACCAGGAAGGGCCCCTCTCTGGCTGGGGACCCGGCCTGCCCGTTGCTCACCTGGATGAACCGCTGCTCCAGCACCTCGTGTTCCCACTGCAGGGCCTTGAGCTCTTTTTCGGTGACTTTCAAACGTGCTTTTGTACACTAGAGAGAAATGAGGAGGTGGGGGGCACAAAGCAGTCAGGATTCAGGAATCCAGGTAATATAGGCCACTGGAAGACGTCAAGGATAAAAACAGTCACCAGAAAGAATGGGCTCAAAGGCACAAGCGGCTCAGCCCCACCGGGCCTGTCTCCCAGCACACGGACTCGTCACAGAAACACTCAGGCCCCGTCCACCCTAAGGGCCAAGCCCTGCTCTGGGCCTCAGGAGGCATCTTGCTGACACTCCTTCTCTCCTGGGCCCAGAAGGAGCCAAGGACGGGGATGAATTCAGGTGGAAACTCACAGCCAGGATCTGCTTGTCCCTCTTGTGGTTCCCAAGCTGCTTCTGCATCTCATTCATCTCGTCCCGGGCCTTCTGCAGAGGGTCTGCCAGGCGCCGGTTCTGCGTAGATAGCTCCATCGCATCCTTCTCCAGGCGGTCTTCCTTCTTCCGCATGTCCTCCATCTGCTCCTGTCGGCATAAGTCACGTGCAGGAGGGTCAGCAGGCAGCATTGGGGCTGCGAGCTCGCACACCGAGGCCAGTCCTGCCGGCGGCACAGACGCAGACCACCTAGGCCTTTTTTATGTGTGAACACAGAATTCTGCACAATCTTAACTTATTCTGAATTCTCCAGGAATAGTTTCCATGAGATTGTGCTTTCTTCTGGACACCCCGAGGGGCATTCTCCACTGTGGGAACTCCATCACTGGAGTTCCCACAGTGCCCATACTCGGGTGACAATGACACCTGTCTGTGCCACCTGCACTTCTGCCTGAGCCTTTCCCTATCAGGACGCGCACTGTTCTATTACTCCCCTGACGCTACGGCGAGGGCGACATCCTGACTGCTTTCAGCTACAGGTGTAGACAGGTTATATCACCTGTGGGTTTTCATCAAGGACAGTGAGGGGCATTATGAGGTCACTGTACAGCGGGGCCCCGGCCCAGCCCGCGGGCACCTTGAGGGAGCTGATGAGGGCCAGGTTGTTGAGGGTGATGTCATTATAGTAGTTCTTGATGTCCGTGAAGGCCTCCTCGTGCCGCTGCATCAGCACGCTGATCTGGCTGTTCTTCCTCTCCTCCACTTCATGGATCTCGGTCTTTCTCCGCAGGTCAAGCTCATCCCTAAGCATCTTCATCTTCTTATCATACTTGGCCTCAATTTCTGAAAGACAGCGGCACACAGAGCAGCTCAGCAGAGAAGGAACAGGTGACCCTGTACACAGGCCCAAGCACGCCCAGCGGGACTTAGGCTGTGCCCAAGGGCGGTGGGTTTAGGTGGAGTTTTTTCGGCTGCTGCTCACAGGCCACGCTCAGCACACCTGCCGCTGTCTGTTGTCCTCTGCCTGTGGCAGGCATTGCTCACCGATCCCTGCATGGGGCTCCCAGTAGCTGAGTGTCAACGGATCCCAGCGGGCACCAGCCATGGCCCAGGGAGCCACCCAGCCACACCATGGGGCTTTATTAGTAAACCAGACAGACTTCTGAAATGAAGGCCTCCTCGGGCCAGGGGTCATGGAAAAGGCTGTCCACGCGTGTGGAAGTGGGCGGTGACCACAGCCTCCCCAACTTATATGGAAGCTATTCTGGGACTCTGGGCCGTCCATCGCCCGGGAAACTACCATGTTCCCTGGCTGCAGAGCTGGGCTGCTGTAACCTGTTGTAGGAGTCCTGTGACAAGTCCTGCAGGCAAACTGCTTTCTGATGGCAGGGGCCCTGGCACCATCTCCCACAGCACGCATCTGGGACACTGACCTCTCACTTGCCTCTCAAAGTCATTCCGCATCTTGGTGATATCCTCAGTGTGTTTCTGGAAAGGCAGAAGCCGACCGTTACTAGGTGACAGACAGAAAGCCCAGCTCAGTAAGCCCTGTGCTGCTGTGGGCAGGCGCTGGCTTCCCCGTCTGCGAGCTCATGGACACACACCCAGAGTAACTTGGTGTGGTAACTCCCATGTGTGGTAACTCACTTCCCTTGGCTACAGTCACCTCTGAGCTGGAGAGAACGTTAACACACAACATGAGCACTGACCGCGCTTGGCCCCTTGCCTGACCTGCCTGTGGATGGACAACAGTGGCCACGCCCACACAGGCCTGCAGACTCTCCAGGTGCCCGCTAACCTACTGTACCTGGGGCTCAGAGCAACATGAAAAACTACGTCAATACGTAGAATGTAAGAATTCTGAATAAAAAATGTTAGTTATTTTTTAGAGCAGTGTTTTTACACAAAAGGAAACTCGGACCACGTAACCCCTCCATATGCAGGCCTTGGGCAAGCAGATAGCCTCACATCACTGAATTCACTGGAAACCAGCTTTTTGTAAGCTTCTGTCAGGAAAGATCAGACAATTCTTGAGGGTCCACAACCTTAGCACCCTCAGGCTTTCCTGCAAAGTCTGCAATATTACCGAATTTTTTCCAGACCCAGTTGAGGCTGGGCTGCCTTCACATGAAGCAAATGTGATGACAAAGTCTTCTCAACCTGTGGCCAGGAAGAGCCTTTGAAAACCAAAGTCAGACCATCCTCACCCTGCCCAAATCCTGCACAAACCCTGACTCAGCCAGGCTCAAGGCCCCAGTCGTGCCTGGCCGCCTTGCTCCTGGCTTCTCTGGGTCCTCACGCTGGTCCATGTCCTAGCCCTTCTCCTGGCCTGCTCCCCCAGCCTGGTTCAGCCCTTACCGCCTTTGCCCAAATGTCACCTTCTCAGTGAGGCATTCCCAGAACAGCCTGGAGACAAATGCACACCCCCCTCTTCCCTGCTGTGCTCTTCCTACAGCACTTCTACCCAGCAGGGTGCTGTGTACCACTGACACCTGTCTTCTTTGCTGTGTGCAATCCCTCCTTTCCAGGCCATCAGCATACGTAGGAGGGCTCTTTGTCAGTCCTGTTCCTCCACGTCCTCGAGATCAGAACCAGGCCTGGCACTCGGCAAACAAGTTCCAACCCTCCCCGAATAGACCAAAGGGTCTCAAAACTCAGCCAGCTGCTCATGACAAACGCTCATGGCTGCCTGTGGGCTGGCCTGCTAGACACTTTTCCGGTTGTTTCCCTGATATTTGCCCTGGGAAAGCGGCTGGGTACCAGGTGTCAGCAGCACGTGGAAAGGAACCCTGAGCTGGGTTTTCCGCATGTCAGCTTGTGGCTCAAGTCTGAGACAGAATTCTGCACTTGGCCCCCAAATTGGGTCTGTATGACTACATGCTTTTTAAAAAGATATTTTGATTAATTGCCAAAACACGCTAATTTTTACACAAAACCGTGAATTCTCAGTTGCTGTTGAGTAATGAGGAGCTTGCTGTCCCGGCAGCCAGCCGGTGACCTACCAGTCGTAGGTTCTTCACTGCTGCCTCATTGGCCAGCTCCTGCTCCTTCAGCTCCACCTTTAGCGCCCGAGTGTCCCGGCGCAGAGTGCCCTCCTGCGCCTGGTGCTCCTTCTGGGCCAGCTTCATGGCCACTGTGCCCTCAGCCTTCATCTCTGTGAGGTTGTTCTGATGCTCATACAGGAGGTGCTTCACCTTCTGCTTATAGACCTGTGGGCGGGAGGAGCTGCACCTGTTCACCGGCCCCACACACTGCAACACACGCACATGCTACTGCACACATGTGCTGACCTGCACCCGCACACACACTCCAGCATCTCCACAGTGACTGCAGCAGGACCGGCAGCCTGGCCCCACTCACCTTGATCTCCACCTGGTGCCTCTCCTCCGCCTCCTCCATCTCCCGGTCTTTGTTCCGCAGCTCGGCCTTCTTCTCCTCCAGCTGCCTCCGGGTGATCTCCCAGAAGGTGTGGATCTTGTCCCGTTCCAGCTGGAAGTAGTTGCGCTCCTCCCGCTCACGGTCCAGCTCCTCCCGGATGTGGCTGACATGCTCCTCCACCTGGCAGGCAGAGCAGACCCCTGCCAGGGACCAGACGGCCCCCACCTCAAGGGTGTGTGAGAGAAGAAAGGCCAGCAAGAAAGAGGGTGGGGCCCCTCATCTAAAAATACATGAGAGCTGGGCCGGCCCAGTGGCTCAGTTGGTTAAGAACTCTCTCAAGAGTGTGAGCTCTGAGCAACAGGGTCGTCAGTTCAATTCCCGGCCTGAGCTGAGCTGCCGCTGAGCTGCCAACAGGTGGCAGGATGGCTCAGCTAAAAAAATAAAATAAAATAACTAAAAGAAATAATAAAAATTAAAATACATGAGAGCTAAAAGTAAGGAGTTAAAATGTAATGCTGGGAAGGCTGCAGAGACAGGATACTTTCAGTAAATAGCAAAAATCTCTGAATTTGGCCAATAATCATAAATGTATGATATCCTTTCACCCATTCCTGGGAATTTATACTACAGAAATTTCTCAAAAGAACACAAGAGCTTTCTGCTCAAACATATTAGCCACATCATTATTAAAAGAGCAAAAAAATTAAAAAGAAAACGATGTAAGATGATTTTATAATATGGGAATGGTTGAGAAATTGGAGTATATCAACTAGAGGATGATATAGCCCAAAGTTACAAACATATGAAAATAATACAGCAGCATGCAAACACGTTCACAAAATAACGCTGAATGAAAAAAAGTTCACCTTTAATGATATATGTTAGGCAAAAAATATACAAAACCAGCAGACCCCTAACAATCAAGAGGTTTAGTCCAGAGCCCACTGTCTTCACTCAATGTCGTCTCCCTGCGTGGATGGGAGGTCCTCACTCAATGTCGTCTCTCTACGAGTTTTCAGGAGCCTTTTAATTGAAATTGTAATTATATAATTCTGTTCTCTAGCCCTTAACTTCATCAAAATGGACAAGTGGCTTAAAATAATTCCTAGTGTTTCATGGTAAATAAGATTAAAAGGATACTATATATACATACATTGGTAACAGCTCTGTAAACCTCAGGAGCATAAAAGGATAAGCTTGAAAGGAAATACAGAAAATTAAAAATCACTTGTATATCAGAAAAACATTTCCTTCCGAATTCCTACCACAGCATAACAATGTTCTTCAGTGTGGCTGTATTGTAATTTAAAAAAATATCTACTAAATAAATAAATAAATAAATAAATAAATATGTACTGAGCTTGAGGACTTTGGAGCTGATGGGACTATGGGAATGGGGACGGTACACCCTAGTTTGGACAGGATCACAGAAGCCAGATGCGGGGAGAGGAACAAAGAAGCAGAGGGCAAGACGAGGGGCACTTGTCTCAAAGAGGTTTATGGAGACAGGTGGGCAGAGGTGAGCTGGAACAGCACTCCCACCCTCCAGCCCAGGCCTCAGGCCAGCAGCTCACCTGCTCCTTGCTCATGTCCACCGGGGGGAGCCCATCCACAATCGGGGTACCTTTGCCTTTCCCTTTCTTGCCTTTCTTTTTGGGTGCCTTTGGTTAAAGAAAAGGAGACTGGGTAAGGAACAGAGGCTCTGTGGAACGGCCTCACTTTCCGGCTGGCTCAAATTCCTGGTCGGGGTCACTTGGGAGATGAGCACCTGGCCTGGAACCGCTACGTACCGCTTCTGACTCATGCCCCACCTGGAGCACATCACTCTACCCTAAGGTTCACACCCTTACCACACTCACATTCTCTGTTGACCCCTTTGGAGAAGTAAAGAGAAATCTTCGTTTTCAAAAGAGAACATTTTCTCCCTCAGAAAGGAACGGAGGGGCACTTGTTCCAAACGCGATCTACGATACATGGCAGGGACCTCCTTGGCGTGGATGCAAAGTGCACTTGGCCTCAAGAGGAGGAACCCCAATCCATAGTGTCAGGTGCTGCCATGCTGGCTACAGGGCCTGGTAAGCAGCAGAGAGAAGCTGGCACGAAGCTGCTGAGCATGTGCTGGGACTAACGCCTCCACATAGCGACCGAGGGCAGCATATGAGGCTTTCCTTCTTCCAACATAAAACTCCTTCCCAGAAGCCTGGTCCACCACACAGCGGACGGTTCACGGCGTCACGCGTGACACGATGAAGGAGAGAGCCTTCCACCCCCCAGTCACATGTTGAGGGCCATTTAAGCAGATACAGAATTTCCAAATCCTTATCCTTCTGCCTTCACTTCTCCCAACTGTCTGTGGCCCATGCATTCATGTGTGTGGGTCTATATGTCTCTGTAACGTTTTTAACATTACAAACAATTTTATGTGTAAATCTTAGAAAGAAAACGTAAAGAAGCAACAGGAAAAAAGGAAAAGCATCCATATTCCCACAAGGTAGTAACCAGCACAAATAGTTTGCTGGTCTTTTTCCAGGTGACTTTTCTAAAGACCCATCCGCTGAAATCTGCACTAATGTGCCCTCTTTCTAATCCCTGTCTCCAGGAAGTCCGCCATCACAGGGTCCTCACCACTTAGCATCTGGGACATCGCAGGCAACTGCAGGGGCTCCCCCACAGAGACAGTCACCCCACCAGCTGATACCCACCTGCCTCGAAACTGAGTTACCGACAACTCCTTTTTGGGGGGCAGCTGAGGGCCCCATTACATGAGAGGCAAATGCGGAGAGCTGGTGAGGCAGAGCACTCCCACCCTGCTCTTCTCGGTACAGGCCTGACTCGTTGGAGGCTCTCCAAGCAAACGGCAGTTCCTATACCCTGAGGCTCTGCCCTGGGTGCCCCATGGGCACTGGACCCTCTGTCCAGGTCCCCTTGATGTAGAGGGGCCTCTAGCCACCCTGGCGTGCCCCAGGCTCTCCATCTCAGAGACTGGAGGTCCTAAGGTGACACCCCTAGGCCCCAAGGATCTGACGGACTGAGCCTTCCATTCCGGGGAGGGCATCCCCTTGACCCAGGTTCTCTTCTGAACAGCTGGCACATCGGACCCTCTGTCTTGGGGAGCGGAGTGGGGGGATGTCCTGTGACCACCACCGTGAGCACAGAATCCTGGAGAGCCCAGATCGCTCAGCTACAAGAGCCTGCGGGAACCGGGATCCACAGGGGCTCCACGCACGAGAGCACCAAGGTCTCAATTCCAGGAACCCCCGAACCCAGGCCTCCCCGTCCGGGGTCTCTCTGCGCACAGGGCCGCGAACAGCCCAGCCCGCCCCGCCTCACCATGGCTCCAAACGCCCGGCCCCGCCGCGACGAGCCAACGAAAGCGCCCTCCGCGCTGAGGCTGCGCCGTCTCCCAGCAACCGCTGTGCGGCCCCGCGCGAAGTATCGCAGATCCTCGCGAGACTCCTCAAGCCCCTACAGGCCCTGGTAACGATGGGAGTGCGTCCCTAGCAACAAGCATTGAACCCGGCCACCGGATGCCGGAGCCGGGTAGGTCTTGCCTGCAGCTGGTCATCATTCGCGCTCTTGATCTCGCCGATCCCCCGAAACGCTTGCGGGATGTACGTGTGCATTGCCGGTCTCCCCCGAAAGTTCCATGGAGAGGGGAGGCGCTGTCTCGTCCACTTCTTACCTACAGTGCCCAGAACAGTACATAGCATGTGCTCAATGAAGATGCCTTCAGCGAAGGAGGGCGGGAGGGAGGAAAGCCCTGCTACCCCTGGCTCCCGGACATTAGATTCCAATTTGGGCTGAGATTCTGCCCCAAAGCCTGACCCCACCATACCCACCTTTGAAGATCCTCGCCTATGCCCCCCCCTCCCCCAACCTGCTGAGGATGGAGGATAGCCCGGTTTCCACAAACCATCAGAAGAAAGCAAAAGTAAAAACAGAAAAACATGTTTCAGCTAACTCCAATGTTTTGAAATCAGCAAGTATCCCCTTTACAAAAATAAACTGCCCTGCCTGAAGGGGCCTCTTCTGTGGCTCCCTGTTCCCTGGTGATTAAAAACTAGAAACCTCTGCCTGAGAGGTCCAGAGAGGCAGAAAAAATAAGTTACCAGGTCCCTTTCCTAACCATTTTACAATTTCCAAAGCGAATTTGATCCCTGCCAACACACCATTACCTGCATGTAGCACTCGGTGTCACCCAGGAGGCAGACAGCTTGTCACAAGGAGGGGTCCATCTTCACACACCATTTATGGTCTTTTTCCAACACGCTCAACCCTAGCATCTTCTGAACTAGCAGTTTTGTTGCAGGTCGTGTTTCCCCATCTGTTTGGGGATGGAGAAGATTCCAGAATCTTCTTCCCCTGGAGAGTTGCACTGGGGACGAAGTGTGAGTAATGAAGAAAGTCTGTCCAACGCAGGGGGAAAGAAGAACGTCTTATGAGCTGGGCTTGCGCAGGCCGCAGGCACCCACACGGTGGCCAGCAGAGATCTGAGAGCCTCATTGATGAGCCTGACAGGCTTCCTGTTTGTCCACCCAAGCGCTGATTGTTCTTGGAGTGGAGCAGCCATTTGAAAGGGCTGCAATGACCTAGTTTCCACAGAGTGTGCTTGATTTAGATTGGGCCCTGGGGCCGTTATGGGGTCTGGTCCTGTCACCATGCTGGGCCACCCAAGAGCCTGCACATCAGTGCCAGACACCACTGGCCTGATAGGGGCCTCCTCCCTGGAGACCTGGGCCTCCTAGAGGGGATTTGGCAGACAAGACAGTGCAGCTGGGTAACACAGTGGGGTAACTATTATTATTTAACACTGGCTTTGCAGACCCAATATGCTAGGTGCCTCATGCTGACTGCTTTTGCTTTAGAAGTCTTGCTGGGAGTCCTGAATTAAATAAACGCATTAGCAATAATTCCTTTCAGCAAAAAGGGCAAGGATAGGAGGGTTAGCTCAGGATACGCACACAGGGTGTTCATTGGTCACAAAACAATATTGTAGCCTGGCTCATGAGCATGGGCTGCAGGAGCCCTGGGGTCCCAACAAGACCCACAGCAACCTGTGCTTTTCATATTGGATCTCAGTTCAGATTTTTAGAAAAGAGCCTTTTCTTCACATGCATGGCTTAAAATACTTTTATTCAGCATCAAGCTGTGCAGCTCAGAAACCCAGATAAATGGCATCTGAGTTTTGAACAAAATCACAGAGCAGATGTTAATACACACAAACCACTGACCACGTTCTCCACTGTTTGGCTCTTCCTAACGCCGACTCACTTGGTCGTCCAGGTAAACTGCTCAGGGGAGGCCTGGATGTCAGGACGACTAAACTCTCTTAGAGATAAATAGCGATGTATTTATCTATGTGTGAAATGATACAAAGCACAGACCTTGGGTTCAGGCCTCCTGGCTTTCAGGGGCTGGCTGGGCAACCTTGTTCGGGTTACCAGCCCTCTCTGCGCTCAGTTTCTTCACCTGGAAAACCAGAATATCGTCTTCTTAGGATCACTGGGAGAATTAATGTGATATTGTTTGTGCAGCCTACCAGCGTTTGGAGGTGGGGCTTGATTGAACCGTTTGGTACTCTCAGCAAGCCCAGACCCTGCCCTGGTTTCTAGGAGCGCCCTCCCTGCCCGCCACCATCTCCTTATCGCCCACCGTCCAGCCTCGCCTTTAAACGCTTTCGCCTCCACCCCCCCACCCTGTGTTTCTTCATAACATTTATTACAACCTGCAGTTCTACGCTTATGTTGGCCCCGCCCTTGCTTCTCCCTATGTGAAGCGCCGGCTCGTAGTTGGCGCCCCATAAATATCTGGGGCTGAACAAATGGACGGAAGTCGGCGCGGCTGCGGGATGAGTGTGCCCAAAGGGGTGGGAGGCCGCGGGCAGGTCCGGGGTCCGCGAGCCGGGAGCGGGGGTCCGCAGGGCCCGGGGCGACAGGGGGCGCGCGAGGACCTGGGCGGGGCCGCACCTGTGCTGCGGGGCTGCGGGGAGAATGGGGCGGCCGGGGCCCCGGAGCAGCTGCGCGCCCCGCCCCGCGGGCTCCTCCCCGCCGCCGCGGCCCCCCGGCTGCTGCCCGATGCGCTGCGCCGGGATCCAGGGACGAATCGACACCGCAGCTGCAGGGTCGCCCCGGCCGGGTGACGCCGAGGCCCGCATGGAGGCCCCGGAGGGCGCCGGGCCGCGAGGTGAGTGCGGTCCCAACCCCCCAGGAGCCCCCGAGCTGCGCCTGCCCCGCAGCATCCGGCCCCTTCTCCCGGCCCCGCTCACCCGCCGTGCCCGGGGGCCGCGAAGACTATCTGCCGCTCCGCGTCCCCGCCGCTCCCGGCCGAGCCGAGGAAGCCTGGTCCGCCGCACCGGGCTGCGGGCACCTCCCGGGATCCGCCGCAGCTCTGGGCTGGGGGCGCGCAGACCGCGTCCCCGCCCCCTCGTCCTCTGCGCTCCGGGCCCCCGCAGGAGTGCCTGGCGTGCTCCTGGGTGGGTGGCCCAGAGTTTCGTCCTGAACCCCTCCCAGCTGCCGAGCCGTGAATCCGGGAGTCAGGGGATGGGGCGTGCCGGGGCCGGAGTTTGGGGTCCTGGCGACGAGGCGTGGGGAGCGACGCCGCTCTCTTGGCCGCGCGTCTGCTTTGTTCGCCCAGCAGCGGCTCCGGGGGGCTAGGGCGGCAGTGGCGCGGCACCCGACTAAGGGAGGGTCTCAGAGGGGGTACGGCTTCTGCGGTGGGGCGGGGGGATGGGGGCTCCGATGCCTGCAGGGTTGCCAGCCTGGGCGAGGTCCAGAGGAACACACATCTGGGAGGGCAGGTGTGCACGGAGTGACCCCTCCTCGCACTCCGTCGGCTGTCCGGGAGTCTGGCAGTTGAGGCCCTACCGTAGTGGGAGGAAGCCGTAGGAGCCCCTTCAAGCCCTTTCAGGAAGTGTTTGTAGACGCCATCCGCCTGGGAACTTGGATGCAAACTGCACGACTCCTCCAGCCGCCTGTCTGGTCAGGCCCCAGGTTCATCCATGGTTTCCTGGAGGTCCCATCCCAGGGAGCCACTCCCTGACCACACAGGGACCCGCGAGGGCTCCCCCAGTGACACCAGTGGCCTCTTCTGGAACGCAAAGGGCTGGTCGCGGGAGGTGTCTGGAGGTAGTGGGTCCATGGTTGCTGTTTGTAGCCTGAGTGGCGCAGGTGCACCCCACATGGCTGTCCCTCTCCGCAAGCACCACCAGACACACCCAAGGGCTAGTGGGTATGGGTCTTCTTTGTTTTGTCATTTGTGGGAGGAATCCAGCTTTTTCTCACAACTGACAATACCAGAAACCCCCATTCCCACCCCCTTGCTTCCCCTTGGAAGCTTTGTGGGGATGCAAAGGGTTGGGATAGGGAGCATGCAGCTGTGAGATGTGGGCAAAGCAGGCGCCCGCTGAGCCTGTGTGTCCACTTGTCCGTGGAGACAGCCCCCTGGCCCAGCAGGGCTGTGGGGGAAGGAGCTGAACTCAGTTTCTGAATCTCATTGGCAGCCTCAGACAGACTCATTCAGTGCACACACAGGTACCTGCCGGATGCCTGCTCTGTGCTGGGGCCACGCTCAGGACTCACCTGTTAGCCCATAGCCATTTCCTGCCTGCACAGCAGGTTGGTCATCTCCACTCCATGGACTCTCAGGTCACGTGTGGGTGAACTGATGCTCTCTCAGTTCACTGACTTTTGAAAGCTGTATTTCGGAGGCTGTGGAGCACACACCCGAGAGTACACAGCACGGTAAAAGCCCCCAGTGCCACTCCCACCTGACCAAGCAGTCCACCACCAGCCTCCTCCCTTCAGGAGTAATTTGTAGCAAATCTAGACATATTATTTCATCCATAATTATTTCTGAAATTCTCTCTAAAAGATAAGGCTTTTATAGAGCATAATTAAAATCTCATTTTTGGACCTAAATGAATTAACAATAATTTCTTCATTAGCAAAGTGTGCGTGCAGACACAAAGGTGAGAAGTGAGTGTTGGTGTGGTGGACAGTGTATTTCTTGAAGGGCCACAAATGTTGCCTCTGGGAAGGGAAACCAGGATTTGAGCCACCACCACCCTGTACCCCACCCTCCATGCCCGGGAGAAAAGCTGAGCCTGGGCGGGGCCCACCCAGCAGCATCAAAATGCATGGTGTGGTGGGGGGGACACTGAATCCAGGGACAAGGTTTGGGGAAATGGGGTGCGGGAGCCCCACCTCTGTGACCATTTCTCCCTCCCTGCAGCCATTTTGTTTTTTATTACGTTCATTCACTTCATTAGTTTGTTCGCTTTGCTCGTGGGTGTGTGCAGAGTGCCTCCTTGATGCTGGGGCAAGGCCTTGGACACAGCAGGGAACTTGAGATTTAGGACAAGTTCTCTGCACGAATGTGCTGGAAAATAGGTCAGCGGCATAGCACAAGGTAACCCTATCGGCTCCACTCACACAGCTATGCGCCCTGGGTGGGGGCAGATGGTGGCACCCTAACTCCAGTCTCGCCATAGTGCACTGCACTGGGCTGAGACCAGGGTATTGCTGGCCCAGTTGCCAGCCCTCCTGGGAGCTGCTGAGCCCATCCAGCTTGCAGCTCAGTGGCCTACCGAGCAGGTCACCTGTGCCTGCCTGAGACACCACTACTCTGCTCCACACCCCAGGAAGATCAGTGGGTCTCACCTGTGGAGAATGTGTCCCTCTGTCTTACAAGGTATCATACTGATCTTTCAGACAGCTGCTTATTAACTGTACTATGGGGTAGTGGGCTTATTCATTCAACAAACATTTATGGTGCACCTACTGCGTGCTAGGACCAAGCCTAGGTCCTGGTGCTCACACTTCTCACACCCAATCCCAGCCTTTGAGCCTGGAGCCTGGTGCATAGTAGGTGCACAGCAAATGTGAGTGCATGCCAAGTCGTCCTGGCTTTGCCCTTCAACTCCAGCCCAAATCAACCTTTGTTTCCATTGAGGGTTTCTTTAAGTTGGAATATAATTCACGTCACAAACTTCAGCCTTTTGAAGTGTACAGTTCAGTGCAGTTAGTATACACATGGTCCCCAACTTACGATGGTTCAACTCAATGATGTTTCGACTTTACAATGACCCACAGCAATCCACAGTGCAAAAGTTCTTTGAATGTGGAGTTTGGGCCTCCCGAGGAGCACGATGAGATAGTCTCTCATGACCTGCAGGCAGGCTAATTAATGTACATGTCCTGAGCACCTGGGGGGTGGGCTGGGCTAAGCTGCAATGTTCAGTAGGTTAGGTGCATTACGTGCCTTTGTGACATGATATTTTCAAATTACAATGGGTTTATCGGGGACGTAACTCCATCACAAGTCAATGAGCATGTTTTCAAAAAGTTGTGCAACCATCACTATCACCTTCTTTTAGAGTATATCACCCCAAAAAGAAACCCCATACCCAGTAGCAATCATTCCCCATTCCACACACACTGCCCTGCCCCTGGCAACTAACAATCTACTATCTGTGTCTTCTGATTTACTATTCTACTCTATGTAGATTTGCCCATTCTGGACAACTGGATAAATGGAATCATAACATGTGGCCTTTGTCACTGGATTCTTGCCATGTTTTCAAGGTCTACCCACATTGTAGCTTGTATCAGTGCTGCGATCCTTTTTGTAGCTGGGTAGTATTCCATTGTGTGGATGGGCCACGTTTGTTTATACCTCATCCATTGACGGCCATTTGTGTTTGATTCCACGTTTGCCTCCTGTGAATAATGCGGGGTGGACATTCGTGTGCAAGTGCTTGTGTAGATACGTGCTCTCAGTTCTTCTGGGTTTAACTGTAGGAGTGGAACTCCTGGATCACATAGCGACTCTACGTTTAATAGTTTGAGTCTACAGTGGCTGTACCAATTTACATGCCAAGATCAACCCTGCCCCCTCCTGGGGTCTCCAGACCTCCTGTGTCCCTGGTACCTGCACTGGCATTTTGACTCTTAATCTCCTATTTCCATTACTTTCTTCTAGCAAGAAGATCAGTGTCCTTGATGGCAGAAGCTACATCTTCTGCTTTTTCCTCCCCTACAGCTTTGACACAGGCCAGGGCATCAGGATTTATAAAGACTTGGCCACTGCCAAAGAGAGAGGGAAAATAATAAAAAAACTAGACACATGCCTTATTCCATCGACTCTGACACACAGATGCTTTGCTGTTTCAGAGATGTTGCAAGTTGATAAAAGGTGCTTCTTACAGTCAGTGCAACAGTCCACTCTGCCTGTGGGGGTCTGCCCCAGGGGCTTTCCAAGGATCTATAATGCGTCCCAGGATCTATAATGAGGCGTATCGACGCCCCCAGCTCCCCTCCACAAGATGGGGAAGGTGTGTGCTGTTTGGCTAAGGTCCTGCTTGGCCCCCACCCCCATCTCAGCACTGGTGGACATCATCCTTCCCACCTGGACTGCGTTCTTCCCAAAATGCAAGTAGATGCTGTCCTACTCAGCTCAAAGCACATCAGCAGCCTCCCCCAGTTCACTGAGTAGCAACCAACTGTGCACCCCCTTCCATGTCCCTTCAGGTATGGCACAGCTCCCACCCACCTTCAGACCCCTCCACTAAACAGGAGAACAGCCCCCACTGCTCCCCAGCACTTCCCACCCTCGAGAGGGCCAGAATTATCTCCTTTGTCCATGCCACAGAGTGGGCACTCAGGAAATCTTTGAGGGCTGGCTGCCTGGCTGGATGATGGATGGTGGATGGATGGATGGTGGATGGACAGATGGATGCCTTCTTGTCTAGATGAGGGGCCCCACCCAGCGACACAGAGACAGAGCACTGTGAGCAGACAGCCTCTGCCCCACCTTCTTTCAGAAGAACATTTCCACCTGGGTCGGGCCCAGGGTCAGGGGTCTCTCCTCCCTCTTCTGGCCCATTCCCAGCCCTGTGGCATGAGCGGAGACAGAGGTCGGCAGGTGGTGTCTGAGAGATTGGACTCCATCATCTTGTGCTGTGTGTCTGGGACGAGCAAGGCCACTCGGGGCCACATCTCTAAAACACAAAACTCACTGTCCCTCCCTCATAGCTGGCTGTGACATTAGTTGAAATACTAAGTGCCTGGATGGTGCCTGGTACTGTCACCGTGAGTGACTGTCGCTATTGTCATTACCCCAGAGCCACCTGCTCCATTTGGAGACTCTACACAAATGGCGGCAGCATCTGCCCTGAGCCCCTAGCCCAGACAGTGACCCACCACACCACAGGCCACCTGTGTAGAAGCGTCTCAGAATTATAGCCAGCAGGACACAGATGTATCACCGTGCCACCCCCACCCCCACCCCCACTTAAGGAGACAAAACAAAGTGTCCTACAGAGTAAAGTCTGCCCCCCACCCCCCACCCAGGACTTCCCCACGCTGGACTGGGGCTCTCAGACAGTTGGTCTGAGCTTCCAGGCAGAGGTTCCCACTCGCCAGCCCAGAGCAGGGGCCGAATCACATCTCATCTCTCGTGCCCTCTGGGCAGGAAGGTGTCCTTGCTAGGCCAAGGGCCAGGAGGGGGGCGGGGTGTAATTCTACCCTCCAAGGAAGCTGAGAAGCCACACTGCAAATGCAGCAGACGTGGGAACCAGATCCCGTGGCCCAGGCCCCATGTGACACAGCACGGTGCAAAGCTTCACAGGCCACCAGTCAGCAGGTCCACCCTCCCTCAGCCACTCTTCCAGGGAGGGTGGTGCCCTCCTAGAGGCTAGGGTGGCCCTGCCGCCCTGCAGCTGTGAGCCGATGTCATGTTCCCACTCAGTGGGGGACCCTACAGACACACATGTCCGGCATGGCGGCATCCAGACTGCTGTCCACACTGTCAGGGAAAATTGGCCCACCCCTCACAGGCAGCTGTTGGCACAGAGGGCCCGAGCTGGGCTCCCCTCGGTGCGCCAGCCGAGGCAGCTGCTCCCGGGGCTCCATCCACGCCCTGCTCTCGGCATTCAGCCGCCAGACAAGGGCGAGTGCAGGGCACTGCTGAGGGGCACCCAGGCCTCATCCAGTCAAGTCTTCACTGCGCAGCCACTCAGCTGGGAGTCCCAGGAGAAGGCAGTGATGTGCGGGCGGGCTCTGCGGTTGTGGGTGGAGGGGTGTGCCTTGAGAGCAGCAGAAGGTGTGTTTGGAACTCTTGGGGGCAGTGGTCCCATCTCTGAGTGGCAGTCTCCACCAAGGAGATCCCTGAGGGTCCTCCTGCTCTAATCGCACACAAAAAATTGTGAAATATAAAACAACGAGCAATTACATTTTTCAAGGAAAAAAAATACATAGAAAAGACCTGGAGGAACATTGTCCCAACTGTGAAGTGTAGTTGGTGGCAGGGGGTCTGCTGCTCCCCCATTCTGTACCTCACAGAGCAGCAGTCATGTTGCAGGTTCTTTGAAAGCAGTCAGTCCACAAGGACAGACAGGCAAGTGGGGGCCGTTTGGGACCAAAGGGAACCAAAGGGCAAGGAAATGCAGGCGTGACCGCTGGGCCCCTGGTTGGGCCAAAGTAGGGACAGGTGACAGTGTCGGGTCACTGGGGACTCTGAGCTGATGGGACCAGCAAGGAAGTCCCCATGACACCTGCGTGGCCTGAGTTCATTCAAGCTCATGTTCCGGGCCAGGGTCTGGAGGCCGTCCATCCCCCCTTGTCCACAGTAGGCCGCACCCTGAGGCAGGACCAGCCTCCGCAGAGAAGCGCCACTGCCCCTACTCTGGGAGCCTGGCCCGAGGCCACCTCGAGCACCCTGCTCACTGCCCAGCACCTCAGAGGGCCCATGAGCCAACTTCTCCAGTACTCGCCACCTGTGTCCTGCTGGGCAGAGAGCCCCCGTATCTCCTCCCAGGAAACACGTTCTTTCTTTTTTTTTTTTTTTTAAAGATTTTTATTGGGGAATTGGGGGGATGGGAACAGTGCTGGGGAATTGGGGGAAGGGGAACAGA